CCCCGCCATTCAGCGCCGGCGCTTCCCCAAGGGGGGCCGGGGGCGGCGCGGGGCCTCCCGCGCAACCCCGATCGCCGCTGCCGCAAAGCACTACAGTGTCTGGTCGCAAAACACCGCCCCCATTGCCCCAAAACCGGGGCCATCAGCATCACCACACGAACACCAACACCATCTTGATCAATCCCACACAGCATGAACCTGTTCAACCTGTGTGTTTTTGGGAAGCTGGTTGAGGAGACTGAGGGGGCGTTCGGCACAATTTTCACCTACGTGATCTGCGCCCTGGGTGAGTCACCGCCAGTGGGCATCAGTCACCCGACTCGACCCATCGGCCGCCTCGACGGCCGTCGCGGATGAGAAACTGCAATGACTGGACCCCGCGGCGGCTGGCAAGGATTTTTGAACCCACCATCGACCACCACCCTCCAGCCCTCCCCACCTACGCACCTCCCCCCTCACACGGCCCACCCCTCCCCGCCGGCCTGCGTCTCTACGCTCGCATCGGCCCCGCCGCAGGCGCCGCGGGCGTGTCGGTACTGCTGCAGCCGGCCATCGTGCGCGGCGCCGTGTCTGTCAGCCTGGGGGCGTCAGGTGCCATTTTTGGGCTGTTCATGGGTGAGCGGCGCGGCTGGGGTGCTATTCACAGGGGGAACGAAGGATATGCAATCAGGTGCTTCGTGGGGCAGCAGGAAGCCACATGGAAACTGCGCGGCGCTGCAGCACTGCTCGCTTCCCGCAGAATTAGCTGTTTTTTTTTGCGAGCATCTGCCTGCTTGCGCCGGTTTTGCTCGTTGCAAGCGCTTGCTGCAATTAGTCGACCTTGCTTGAGGCCCCCACAGCTCCAGGTGAACGCTCGCAAACACAGTCTAAGCAACGTCTCACTCCTGCGACCCCTGAGATATTGAGACACTCGAAACGTCCGCGTTTCCCACCCTCCCACCACTCTCTCTGGCTGCACCATCTTTCCAGTGTCTGTGTTGGCGCGCATATCGTGGGACCCGCGGCGGCTGCTTGAGGGGCTGATCCTCGGCTGGTTTGTGGTGCGGCAGGTGAGGGGGCAGCGGAAGGCGGGGAGGCAATGGCTTTTGTGTGCGCGTGTGATTTTGCGTGCATGTTTAAAACAAGAAAGGGGTGCTTGCGTCGGCGAGCGTGTTTTCTTGGGCGTGCGTGCATGTGCGTGTGTGTGTGTGTGTGTTTGATGCGGCGCTGGCCGCCTTTCCGGGGTAATGAGAATCGAGCACTGCAGCGCGCCGCTATCGCATGGCACTCGCACAGGCGACGCCTTGCGCGACAGGACCCGAGGCTCCAAGACTCACGGGCGCCGCGCGTTCTGCGGCGTGCCAGCGCTAGCCGGCAGCCGGCCTTTCGACCCTCTCACCCCCGCACCCGTCCGCGCCCCTGACCCTTGCCGACCCCACTTCCACGCGCCCGCCCACCCACCCGCCAACGCCCATAGGTTCTGTCAGAGGCTCAGGCGCAGGTCGCGGGGGGCCTCACGATTGGTGGGCTGCAAGTCGGGCATTTGGCGCATCTAGGGGGCGCCCTGGCCGGGGTGCTGCTGGTGCTCGCGCTCAAGTCGGTGCCAGACCCTGACGCCGGCGGCAAGGCGTGAGTGACGAAGGCGTGAAGTCACCCTCGCATCCCATACGCGGTCGCCGCGGCCGGCGGCGCTGCAGCAGGTGGGCGTGCTCGCTCCCCCCCCCATCACATCTGCAAGGGGGGCGGGCTGCTTCGGGCGCCCCCGGCAAGCGGCGCGCGGCCGCGCCATGCGCCTTGTCCACCCGCGCGCGTCCTCGCACCCCCGCGCGGCTCGGCTTGCCGCCGCCCGCGCGCGCGCGAGGCTGTGGGCAAGCCGCGCTAGCCGCTTGCACTCTTGCAGTCCGGAGGATTTGCTTGCGGGGGCGGCGCCTGCGCCTTGTGTGCGGACTCTCAACACCCCAAGCCCGGGTCCCGCAGGCGTGCCTGTCCGCACGCGTGAAGCTGATCAGCTGCACGACTGCCACCTCCCCCTGCCGCCCACGCGGCGAGCCACCTCGCCCGCCCACCCGGCCCGCCCATGGTGCCCGCGCCGAGGGGGTGGACTTTGTCAACGTAACCCCGGCTCGCAATCTTTTAATGTAATGTCCCGGCGCCATCTTTAGTCATAGTTAGCTGTCTGTTGACTCCACCCATCACGTGATGCTGATCGCACAGCCCTGAGCGTTATGCCCCGGGCGCCTCTGCTGAGTTCTCGTCAGCAGGCGCCATGCTTGGGCGGCCCCAACTGCACGGTGTGTGTGAGTAACTTCCGACACGGGGTGCACGTTCCGTGCGCTGCAGGTGGTCTGGGTGGTTTCCACGGGGCCTGCAACCTGCTTCAGGGCGGCCGGCCTCCAATCAGCCAAATGTGGGACCTGGCGCCACGCATGCACGGGGTGCTGTGGCCCAAAGAGCGCGACGGAGTGTGACTGTAGGCACGGGCCGTGCTTTCAAGCCGTCGACCGCGCGCCACTGGCAGCTAATGTCTTTCGCGTGGCTGTGGGGAGGGGGGCAGACTTTGCCCTGCCAGGATCGCCCAGGTGTGCACAACTGCAAGCCTGGCTCTCCCCCGCGCTGACAATTGGCGTGGCAGGGGTATATAGTACTGTAGTACTTTACTCGGGAGCTGGTTGGTAACGGGCGCTGACGCGCGGGTTGGAAGTGTGCTGCGCACCTTTGTGGCGTCCGCTTGTGTGATCAGGTCGCGCCTGCATTCATTTGAGAGACGTGGGCATGCAGGGCGTCCTGCGGAGCCACGCGGGCTTGCAGCCCCTGGCTCCGTGCACCCTGCTTGCTCACTCTACCTGCACCGATGCACGGGGGCGGCATGCCAGCAGGTGGCGAGAATTTTTCATAGCAACTCCACCGCACAAACCGACCAGCTCCGCAGCATTCATTTAGAAACACACTCTGCAATGCCCTGGTGTAGTCGCCCAGACCCAACTGCGATTTGAGCACCCGGCATGCCTAGTCAATGGGGCCCGGGGAGGGGGGGATGCACAAACAAACTTCATGATGGAACACCGCGCCATCATTTCACGCAGGTGGCGCAAATTGAATATTCTTCCTTCCAGCGTGGAGCTGTCAATGCTGCCTGTCTGCGGTGCAGCCTGGCCGTCTTCCAAACAAAACACCCTTACACAAGGAGGGCGTCAGCGGGTTGGGTTCTCGGCGTCTCTACACATCAGAGCGCGCCTCACAGCAGTGCATACACGGCAGGCCGAGAAAGGCTCGGGCCGTTAACAATTGGGAAGCGCCACGCCCGCGCTGCGTGGCGCTTGAAAATGCGCGCGGCACGACAGGAGCACTTCAGGCACACCCGGCCAAGCGTCACTTCCGCTCGGCAATCGGCGCCCGCCTACATCCCAGCCCAGTAGCGAAAATGGCCGGCCCAGCCGGCTCAGGTGGCCGGCGGTAAGCAAAACACCCTGCGTGGCGGCACAGCGCCCACTCATCCATCCCTCGCAGAAAGAAGCAGACAAGTGCCGGCGCACAAAACAGCTGGTCGGTCGGGCTTCCCGGCCGCCGCTCAGGTAACGATGCATCCCATTTCAAACGGCCTGAAAATCAGCCGTGGCCCGGCGGTACGTGTGTGCACTACATACCCTCTTGATGTTGTTGTTCCTCGCTCTTCTTGTTGCTTGCGCTTGCGCGCCACTATACTCACGAAAATTCCGCCCCAGAGCTGTATCCGTCAACCACAAGGGTGCGCGCGGGAGATCGCGAAAGCACCAGCATCACGGCATGCATCAATCCAATCCCATCCAAAACCGAATCGAAAGCGGCGGCGCCGCTGAGTTGCCTTGGCGTGGGTTGCGTTGGCTCTTTTTTAGGTGCTGAGGTGCTGCAAACGCAGGGGGTGTGGGGTGTAAGCCACGTAAAAGGGGCGCGGCAGGGACCCCTTTCAAAGTGAGGCCGCCGTGGGAGGAGGGTTGGTGTGGTTGGCGGGCGCCGCGCCCGGGCGTGCGTACGGGATGGGTGGCGGTTCGCAGCTGCGTACCCAATAGCGGTCTCTCTTTCCCCCAACAACTGTCGAAGGCGCCACCCCCCGCGCGACGAATGGGCGCGTCGGGGCGCCGGCGAGCCGCGGCGCCCCGCGCTGTTTTAGGAATGCAAGTGAGGGGCTGGCGCCCCCGCACCCGTGTGCGCAGGCCGGCGCAGCAAAGTGGCGCGCTCGATTTGAGAGGTGGGGAGGGGGGCCCTCGGTAGGCGGGGTGGGGGGAGGGGGAGTTGTCAAATGATTGAGCCCACGCCCTAGCGAACGCCCTCAATCGTGGAAAGGGCGCCGCATCTTCAGCCGGACTTGGCGGCAGGGGCGGCCTCGGGCTTGGTGGCGGCGGCCGCGGTTGCGGGCTCGGGCTTGGTGGCGGC